GTGAGAAGCAGGAGAGGGGTTCTCCTTACCAGCAAGACCAGGAGTGGAGCCGAGCCTGGATCCGGAAGGCAGCTGTGACGTCAGAGGAGCAGCAGCAGACCCAGGAGCCAGAGCGTGAACACAGTGGTGGGCTTCCCAGCCCCCAGCAAGTGAAGCCGAGTGCTTTGTGCAGGACAGGAGACTGGTTTATGGAGTGGGATGCCTCTGGGCACGTAATTCCGCGATCCAAGTTTGCTAACTCATGGAGCTTGAACTGCGAATGCCTTTAGGTTGAGATTTAGGGCGGAAAGGCATGCCCCTTTGGGCATTTATTAGCAGACCTGAAAAAATTCTAGCACATCCTGATGAACAACTGTATCCTGAGCATGTCTCACTTGCATTACAAACTGTCCACTTCCTCCAGAGACCCTTTAATCATTGGGGTGGGGGCCAGGGGGTGGGGGCGGGAGGAGGTTTTAAGCCTCAGAAACACTATATATGGGTCGCTACGAGTCAGAATTAACTTGACAGCATCGTTTTGAGGGGGAGTGGTAGTGGAATGGGGGCTGTCTGTGTTTGTAGGAGTCAATATGTTGGTTTTTAGCACCTGCAACTCTGTTTTGTCCTTGACCCAGCCCCATGCGTCCGTTAGGAAGCAGCAGCTTGGTGGCGTTTCTGATGTGCTTTCTCTCCCCTATGGCTTCCTTTATGTCAGAGTTCCTTTAGCTTCATGTATCAAACTTTGGAAAGGAATGTGCGGACCATGATGACAGGCGGCTCCCAGCATTCCCTGAAGCACGTCTCCAGCCCCTCGGCCTCTTACTTCCTGTCATCTCCCTACGCCCGGCTGGGCTGGTAGGTGCCCGTTCATCTCTTTGATGCATGCCTTCCGAGGCTTCCTTTTCGTCCAGTCCTTCCGCAGCGCGGGGTTTTCCAGCCCCCGTATGATCCACGGCAGAGCGAGTCTAGTGGGTATGTTTGCGAACGGTTTTAACCAGCCCCTTAATATTGGCCAAAACTGTGTCTGTACCTAAGGAGCTTTTGCTGCACTAAACAACGACAACATCAGAGTAGTCTTTTAGAGAATATTTATTTGTAAAGTTTTAAATACTTCTGAAGGTGTCGAGTTATCGAAGTCGGTGGTGGTGGAGGAGAAGGTCAGTGCTTATCGCTTGCTGATTGCAAGGCCAGTGCTTCAAACCCACCGCTGTCTGCTCCTATGAAGACCCGCAGCCTCAGAAACCCTGGACAGGGTTGCTATGTATCAGACTTGATTCAGTGGCAGTGGGTTTGGTCCGGGGGTTAATGACTTAGGAGGATGCAAGTAGATTCCCATTATTTCATATGTAACTATAATAGTGCTGAGAATTCTCTAACTTCATATGGTCAAAGCTTAAAACATCATGCTAATTTCATAAAGAGAATTATTCGGGATTCCTCTGAGTTTAAGACTCAACCAAAAATGGAACTCAAGGATTTAAAAGTGTCTGTTTTAGAGTCCAGGGCTGAAATCCAAACCACGCTGCGTTCCCTCGGAAGAGTTTCCTGAGAGCCCTGTGTTTCTGGGCCACTAATGCATTCAGCTGTAGCACAGGGGGATGGGAAGTGAATGTCGTCCTTCACGACCATTCATTAGTGCATCATGGCTCTTCTTGGACCCCTTCCAGAAAGGTCCAGAAGAAAGAGCCTGTTGGGAGCCGCCACAGAGGGCGGCAGCCCTCCAGAGGCTGTTCCCGGTGGCCCCTTACTAGCCAGCGTTGAGCAGAGCCGTGGAAGGAAAGAGAACAGGAGCTTGTCCCTGGGTTGCTGTGTCCCCTGTCACCAGAAGCCACACCATTTAGAAAATGCTCTTCTCCTTTTCATCTGCCCTGCCTTGAAAAATGAACAAGGAAGGAAAAAAATGTTCTGGAATTAACTGTGGTGATGATGGTACAACTCCTCTTGATATGAGGGGATGGTTGGGTTGTGTGACGTGTGCATCAAGCCAAGAAAAGGAGTCGGAGGTAGTGACAGAGTTCCCAGATGTTTGTAATCATTTTGCATAATAAGAGGTAGTGGCAATTTATTAACACTTTGTGTTCTTATTTTAATAAAACTTTGAAGTTTAGCAAAAATCAAAATAATTATAAAGGAAGCTTTCCTTCACTATATATATGTTTGCCAAGCACTACATATGTGTATATAATATACATATAGTGCTAATCATATAACAAAACATTTGCCAGCGAAACGCTTTTACATGCACAGTTCAGTGATTTTATTCACCATGTTGTGGGACAACCATCACCCTGATTCATTTCCAGATGACCCCACCCCCACTCACAGACACTCCGGGCCCCCTGAGCCATGACGTCCTCTTTCCCCCTCCCTCTCGTGTCTGTTAACCCCTAACCAACCTGTTTCAGGTACGAGGAATTATACAAGGTCCTTCCCTCACGCATCTCACTCAGCATGCTTGCCACGTTCCTCTGGTTGGCAGCTTGCGTCAGCTTGTCATGTCTGTTCCTCACTGAGCAGTATTCCCCTGAGTGGCTGGCCTACCTCGGGTTTATCCCTTCAGCTGTGCTGGCCATTGTCAATGACTTTGCAGTGAACACGGGTGCACTGTTTTTTTCTGTTTGTGCTTTCTCTTTCCATACTCATGAGAATTAATAAACGACGTTGGGGCCTTCCAACCCCAACAGAGAATCATCGAACCTTAGACCCCCGTTTGCCCATCTCTGAAATTGGCCGAGTGGGGAATCTTATTTAGGAATATTGATTTAATTTGGGGCATTTGATTTGGCCTTATCCAAGCACTCTTCTCTCTGTACAGTGAACCCTCATTTATCGCGGTTAATCGGTTCTAGACCCTACCGTGATAAATGAAATTCCGCGAAGTAGGATTCCTTATATCCAATAGTTTTACCTTTTCCTGGATGGTGAGCATCTTCCTCTGGCGCTTATTTTTATTGTCAGAAGGCTTAGAAGAAGCAGCTCGTTTAGGAGCCATCATAGGGCTTAGATAAAATGTCTTAAAAATCGCAAACAATTACAGTACACTGTACAAAAGCAAAAATGCATCTGATACGTAGCTCCGATACGTAGCGATGCAAACAGAAGCGTGTACAGTATGAGCCAATCAGTGGCAGTAATGACAGAGCATGCGCTGTTACGCAAAAACCGCGATAGAGTGAAGCCGCGGAAGTCGAAGCCCGAAGTGGCGAGGGTTCACTGTATATAGGATATCGATAAAGTGGTGTGTGAGAGAAGCTTCAAAAACGTGGAAAAACTCCATTCTCTTTCCATTGCATGTTCCGTGCAGTGGTTGTTTGTGTACTAGGCTTGTGTTGATTAGGGCAAGAACTGATGTGAGCTGAGCTGATGAGGAAGGGGCCTGAGCCCAGGGCTGCATGCAGTCTCCTCTGTGCTTGGGCTCACACTTGGCCACTGAGGGTCCTGCCTTGGACACTGTTGAGTGAGGATGCTTTGTCAGGTGATCCAGAAGGGCTCTGAGTTCCTGATTTGCCCAGAGTTTTGTCACTTTTATTTTCTTCTGGGAGTGAGACTCTACATGACACAAGCAGAAGTGAAATTCTTCACCTCCCAAGGGACTGATGGAGGCAGTCATTCAACATGGAAATGGCAGCGAGAGAATGAGAGCCCTAGCTTCCAGAAAGGGAAGGAAGAAGCAGGGGCGTGGACAATGCAGGGGGCTCCCTCTTCTGCTCCGCAGGGCGTTGACCTCGGCGGACCTCAACCAGGACGGACACGGTGACCTCGTGGTGGGCGCGCCCGGGTACAGCCACCCAGGCCACATTCAGGTTGGCCGTGTGTACCTCCTCTATGGCAACGACCTGGGCCTGCCCCCGGTCGACCTGGACCTGGACAAGGAGGCTCATGGGATCCTGGAAGGCTTCCAGGTAACACGTCCTTCTCTTATCCCCGCTCTTTGTGGTCCACAGCCCACTACTGCCTTCTTTATCACAATGAGAAAAAATGAAATTTGATTCCGCATACATGTTAGAACAGCTAGGTGGCACATAGGCTGGTCTTCTGAAGCTCAGTCCGGGGAAGTTGTCATGAGCTGCGCGATCAATAATTACTTAACGCTCTTAGACATTTTCGAATGCTCGGTTTATTCACTGCAAACACACATCAAACAATCTAAAATATTATTCAAACTATTAAGGGCAAACAACTATAAGCATAAGGGCAGAGTATCAACTATGAGCATAAAGGCATAATAATAACACTTCTCACACATTTCATATTAGCACCATAGTCCCAATCGGCATTGCCTCATCGGTGTACTCACCCCGGGTAGAGTTGGAGAGAGCAGGAGGTGATGTCTCCTTGGTTCCTAGCTCTCTAAAGGTCAGTGTCTCTACCTGGGTTTAAATGGACATTTTGGCCAGTTCTTTGACGTTCTCACTGTCCCAGTCAAGTCTTATCGGGTTTCTCCAGGCTTTAGGTGGCTTGGCTAGCTTTGGGCTTCGGCCGGGTCTCAGCCCGGTCTTATCAGGTTTCTCCAGGCTTTAGGTGGCTTGGCTAGCTTTTGGGCGTCGGTCAGGTCTCAGTTCAGTCTTACTAGGGGTCTCACATTTTTGTGGTGGCTTCTTTGATGCAAGTGTTGGCCTGGGTCCCAATATTACATTTTATATATATATATATATATATATTTTTTTTTTTAAAGTGGAGTTTCTTGTGCTTGTTTATTTGATGTGGCTCCACGTTTTGCAAAGTAGTTCAATGTCTTGTAAGGTAGTTCAACGTCTTGCAAGGAAGTTCAACGTCTTGCAAGGAAGTTCAACGTCTTGCAAGGAAGTTTTATGGTGCTCTCATCAGAAGTCACTTGTGTCTCTCCAGCCCTCAGGTCGGTTTGGCTCAGCCTTGGCTGTGTTGGACTTCAATGTGGACGGCATGCCTGACCTGGCCGTGGGAGCACCCTCGGTGGGCTCGGAGCAGCTCACATACAAAGTAAGGCTGGTGCTTGGTGGTGGGTGGGGTGTTCTTCTATTGCTCAAGGGGACAGGGTGGCAGGGAGGAGGTAGGTAGGCGGCCAGTGTTGAGTAGAGTCTCTGGAGGAAACCAACAGCCGCATGTGACCTTGGGCCCCATCTGGGTCCTTGAAGAATGTGTCCTTGGTTGACCTGCCGGCACATGTTCCTGCCCCTGCCTCTGTTTCCGCCTCATACTTTCCACATTTCACCAAGTTACTTTGCTTTTCTTCTTTTATATAAGCTGAACGCTTGTAAAAAACAAAAGGGGGGAGTGGGGAGCTGGGAGGGAGGGGAAAAATAAGGAGCTGATGTCAGGGGCTTAGGTGGAGAGCAAATGTTTTGAGAATGATGAGGGCAATGAATGCACAAATGTGCTTTACACCATTGATGTATGTATGGATTGTGGTAAGAGTTGTGTGAGCCCCTAATAAAACAATTAAAAACAAACAAACAACACAAAAAACTAGGCTCTGAGGCAGGTGCAGATGGATTATCTTCCTTCTTGTTGACTTGTTTTCTTCCTTGCTGTCGACTGGATGCGTCTCACTGCTGCAGGAAACGTCATCTAACCCCTGAGCTTGGTATGTTTCAGTCTCGCCACGTAGCGTCTGTGCATTCCCCCGTCGTCGCACTTTGCACTCTGCTTCCTACTTGCCTGTTGACCAGCCATCCCAGTAAGCATAATAGAGGACCGAGATGGTCTTGCTCATTCCGTGCCTCCGGTACTTGCCTCATGATCCCCTAGCACTTCCCTCAAACCGGGAAATAAATGCAGACGGAATGGCAAAGGACAGAGACCAATGGAGGGAGGAGTTGATCCTCAACACAAAGCTCAGGATGTGTTCCAAGGCAAACAACCAGTGCAGGCTGGTGAGTTGAGTGTTGGGATCGATGATGTCAGAAGAGAAGGGTTCTTGGAGGAACCAGAAACTGGGCGTGGCCTTAAATGAGGGAGGGGGTTGAATGAGCCACTGGGCAACCAATGATCGATTATGTTAGGGTAAGTTACACAGCATTGCCACAAACTCATAGGGACCTTTAGTACCGTATGCCCTCGAGTATATGCCATGGCACCTAATTTTACCACAAAAACCGGGGGGCTTTTTCAGCATAAAGAATGTGTTGAAAAACTTGGCTTCTACTCGAGTATGTACAGTAAGTGAAAATATCAAAATGTGAATCTCTTGTTTCTTGAAATATCTTCCATCCAGGTCTATACACTTTGGAAGTTAGTGTTTCTGGTGGTGTACTGGTTGTGCATTGGCCTGCTAACTGGAAGGTCAGCAGTTCGAACCACCAGCTAGTCTCCATGGGAGAAAGATGAGGCTTTCTACTCAGAAACCCTCAGATGTAGCTCCACCCTGTACCTATAGGGTCACTAAGTGCTGGAATCGACGTGATAGCAGTGAGTCTGCCTCTTAGAACCTTGGCTGAAGAATTCTGTCCTTTTTTTCTATTTTCGCCACATTAAAAATGGTAGTTTTGACATCCAAGAGGAACACAACTTGGGCTTCTTTTCAATAGTCTTTGTCTTTGGGGAACAGAGAGAAGTCTGCATGGGCTAGATCAGGGCTGTTGGGAGGGTGGGGTAAGGGTTCACAACAAAATTCCCCTAGGACACCGTTGGTCCCCTCAAAGAGTGAACAAGAACATTGTAGTCATGGTGAAAAAATAAAAATTCCGTGGTGCAACTTTGCTGGTCTTTTTTCTCAGCAATGCAGTTTTCTTACAGCTTCTTCCTAATAGCACCCTGTAAATCTGGAGTCTCTCAAGAAGATTTGTCAAGGTTACCCCTTTGGGACATTAAAAAACCAGTTTCTGTCGTCTCGTGAGTGGACCACTCTGCTTTTCATTTCTCTGGTCTGGTAGTTCCCCTCCGAAGCCCCTGTCTGAATTGGACTTGGCTCTTTGGAGCTTATTGGGAAACCCATGACTCATCCTTGGTCACAGGTTGCTCCATAACATTGTATTAGCTTCGGTCTTGCTTAAAAAAAAATGCCTACAAAGTTCAGCTTGTTGAAATAGCTGGTCTTCAAGGCTTGGGGCAGCCATCAGGCAGGCCAAAGCTGGCTGAGGCCAAGCTGTTCACTTTAAAAGGAAAATACCAAATTATGTTTACCTCCAGCTTTGTTCATTATTGCACCAATAACCCGTCTCTGGTCATCTTCCACCAGTTGATGCACTTTGACTGCGCTTTCTTCATTTGTCAGCGTTGACATTGTCCCTGTCTTGGCTCATCTCTGGGGTCTTCTCATCCGCCCTTAAAACACCTGATCCATCACAAAACTGATGTTTTATAAGACACCGCTTTCCCGCTACCTTAGTGCAAGCCTCTAACGATTCAGGAAGAGGTTCTTCACAGAGACTGCAATACCACGTTTTGTTGGAGGTAGACTTTCGAAAGACGGACACGAACCCTAGTCGCAACCCTTTTGGACTTCTTCACCGGAGTTCTAAGAAACACATTTATTTTCTTACAGTTTATGAGGCGCGGAGTCTGATTTCTGGAGCCGGTGTGAGGGGATGCCTTGTTTTCTTTGTCTGCTCTGGGGAAAAGCTCCTGGTCTCTCTTCAGCTTTACTCCTGGGGCTCGTCTGTGATTTCACAGCAAGTGTCTTTCCTACCTCTGTGCTTGTCCATCTGTTCTCCGTATCTCAAAAGCGATTGATATGACCCATCCTACACACCCTCATTCACATCATAAAGACCAGACAGTTCTGACTCACAGCCACCCGTGCGCAACAGAACGAAACACAGCCCTGTCTTGTGCCCACCCCACCGTGGTTCTTGTGTTTGCCACCATTGTGACAGACGCCATGTCAAGCCATCTGTTTGAACAGCTCCCTCGCTCCCCCACCCCCCCTCCCGCCGCCTCACTACTTTACCCAAGGATAATGTGACCCTTTAAGGTTTCCAAGATCGTAAACCTTACGGGAGCAAAGGAGAAAGATGGTCTGTTGGTGATGACAGAGTTGAAGAGTCACTGGAGCGCTGCATTGATGCACGGGGCAGCTTTCTGACAGCTTCCAACTGACCTCCTGACCACAGGCGGCTCTGATGGGGGTTCAGGTCACAGGTGGGCCTCCTGGCCTTGCTGTTCCCCGAGGCTCTTGGGTCCCCAGCTGCGCGCTGTGATGACTCTGTTGCTTGTCTCCGTCTAGGGAGCCGTGTACGTCTACTTTGGTTCTCGGCAAGGAAGGATGTCTTCTCCCCCTAACATCACCATCACATGCCAGGTATGTTTGCCACCTTCGCCAGGGGCAGGAATCTGGGACTCACTGCCTCTTCTTTGCCTCTAGAGCCGAGTAAACACTGGTTTCCCGGTTCCCACTTAAGGACACGTACTGTAACCTGGGCTGGACACTCCTGGCTACGGATGTGAACGGAGACAGCAAGCCTGATCTGGTGATTGGCTCCCCTTTTGCACCTGGTGGAGGGAAGCAGCAGGGAATCGTTGCTGCGTTTCACTCTGGCCCCAGCCGGAATGACAAAGGTAATGTCCTGCTTGCTGGGAGTTTGCGATGAGACTGTTGCCGCCTCCTGTATGGGAGGTCACTTCTTTTCAGAAGGGCTCTTTTTCAATATTCTGGGGCCTCCTCGCCACAGAATTGAGCTCTAGTTTTGAGTGAAGTGCATGCTGATCCTGGCGTTCTTGGAAGTAGCATGGGAACATGCTAGAGTTTTGGCAAAAACTCCGCAGAAAGAACCTCAATTTCTCATTAGGCCACCGGAGGGCCCCCCTCTCTCCACTCCATCTCTCCTGTCAAATATAGTGAACCCTTGTTTATCGCAGTTAATCGGTTCTAGACCCTACCGTGATAAATGAAATTCCGCGAAGTAGGATTCCTTATTTGTAAATTAAGTATTTTCGTAGTTAGAGCATAGAGGACATGAAAAAACACCCTTTAGTCACTATGACACT